ATTTAGAGATATTGATGATGTCGATGAGTTGGCAGAGGATGAAGATGGGATCGACCTTTTTGGCGACTCCTTTGAACGTGACTATCAATTCCGTGGGGTCGACAACTACGAAGCTGCCGGCATTGACGATGACGGTGATCACGAAGAACTGGATGCGGCCACGAGGAGAAGGCTCGAGGCTAGATTGAACAGGCGCGATCAAGAACTTGCCCGGAGAAGGACAATGCCAGCAGCGTTTTTGCAAGAGGATGATTTTGATGCGATTGACCTGTCCCAACTTCGAAGGGCCAGACACAACTACGACGAAGCTCGATCAGATATAGATATGGATAATCCGGATGAGGAGCTCACACTTGAGGATATGGCGGATATCAAAGCAGACAACGTTACCGACTGGGTCGCGTCTCCGGCTGTCCACCGCGCAATCTATCGAGAATTCAAGTCCTTCTTAACGGAATTTACAGATAAGGACGGCCTCTCTGTCTATGGCACTGCCGTAAAAAACCTGGGGGAAGATAACTCCGAGTCACTAGAAATTTCATATCCACATCTAAGCGAGGCGAAATCGATCATTGGCTTCTTTGTTGCCAATGCCCCCGCTGAGGTTCTCAGAATTTTTGATGCAGTCGCCATGGAGGCTGTTCTGCTGCACTACCCCGATTATCAGCGTATTCATAGTGAGATTCATGTCCGGATTACGGATCTCCCAGTGAGATACAGTCTCCGTCAGCTGCGACAGAGCCATCTCAACTGCCTTGTTTGCGTCACCGGAGTTGTTACTAGAAGAACTGGAGTATTTCCTCAGTTGAAGTACATTATGTTCAACTGTACTAAGTGCGGCGTGACTCTTGGACCATTTGAGCAGCAGGATTCTTCTTCTGAACTGAAGATCACCTATTGCCAGAATTGCCAAAGCCGTGGCCCATTTAATCTCAACTCTGTGAAGACTGAATATAGGAACTACCAGAAGCTAACCCTTCAGGAATCACCTGGATCCGTCCCTGGAGGACGCCTTCCGCGCCATCGAGACGTGATTTTGCTTGCGGATCTCATTGATGCAGCGAAGCCTGGTGACGAGGTCGAGATCACAGGAATTTATAAGAATCAGTATGACCTGCCGATGACGAACAAAACCGGACTGCCGGTCTTTAGTACGATTATCGAAGCCAACCACATCAAGAAGTCCCATGACCAACTTGCGTCTTTCCATATTACAGAAGAAGATGAGGATCAGATTCGAAAATTATCTCGGGACCCAAAGATCATCGAGAGAATCGTCAATTCGATGGCACCGAGTATTTATGGACATGAAAACATCAAGACTGCAATCGCATTGTCATTATTTGGTGGAGTTAGTAAAGAAGCTCAAGGAAAGATGAATATTCGTGGGGATATAAATGTCCTCCTTCTTGGTGATCCTGGTACTGCAAAGTCCCAAATGTTAAAGTACGTCGAGAAGACAGCACACCGGGCTGTATTTGCAACTGGTCAAGGCGCCAGTGCCGTCGGTCTTACGGCAAACGTACGACGAGACCCCATGACCAGTGAATGGACCCTGGAAGGCGGCGCGTTGGTCCTCGCTGATCGCGGAACCTGTCTCATTGACGAGTTTGACAAAATGAATGATCAGGACAGAACTTCTATTCATGAAGCTATGGAGCAACAGACGATCTCGATTTCTAAAGGCGGTATCGTGACAACTCTTCAAGCCCGTTGTTCCATCGTCGCAGCAGCCAATCCAATCGGGGGTAGATACAAGGGCACCATCCCTTTTTCTCAGAACGTCGAGCTCACAGAACCCATCCTTTCTCGTTTCGATATTCTTTGTGTCGTTCGTGATACCGTCTATCACACCGAGGACGAGCGACTCGCAAAATTCGTTATGAACTCGCATTATAAATCCAACCCTTTGCGGGACTCCCAGGGAGACGTTATCCGTGATGAAGATGAAGGTGTAATTGGTATGGATGAGGAAGATGAGGACCGAACGAAGCCTCAGCCGATCCCACAAGACTTGTTGAGAAAGTACATTGTTTACGCCAGACGGGAATGTCGGCCCAAGCTGTACCAGATCGATCAGGGAAAAGTTGCGGATGTTTTTGCAGATATGCGAAAGGAGAGTTTGGCCACTGGAGCTTATCCAATAACGGTAGGAACTATTCATATCATCATCATGCTCTGGAGAGAGGCTGATAAGCGTGACTAGGTCCGACATCTTGAATCCATCATGCGTATTGCAGAAGCGTTTGCCAAAATGCGGCTCGCGGAATACTGTACATCGGCGGACATTGATCGCGCTATTGCTGTAGCCATCGAGTCTTTCGTCAGCAGCCAAAAAATTAGCTGTAAGAAAGCACTTTCGAGAGCATTTGCAAAGTATGGTTTTCCCGGGATGATAATTTCCCCTTATTGCAGCAAACGAGGCTAATGATTGATGTATAGATATATGCTCTCTAAACCCAAAACTCACAGTCAAAGGAGGGCTACTGATCATAGAGGGACATCAAGAGAGGGTACTGTTGGGGCATAAGTCAGGCCTGATATTCCTTCGTTTCACTTTTGGAGTTGAGTGCAGCTTTATATCCTCATGGGCGTGGATGTGGGAATTTTTCAATTCTGGTTCGATGACATGTTCAATGGTATGGGGTTAATGATGAAGTGCAATGGTTTTAAAGGGTATAGTAGGTGATGGATGTTTTCATCTGATAATTTTCTACTGCCATGAAGTCCATGGAAAGGGATTGGTATTACGCCTATACCATGAAGATGCCAGATCTCATGCTCATCTAAATCAAACATAGTATGCTGCCGAGTGTCGCTAACCAGAGCGAAGTCGTAACTCACAGCAGTAAAACCTCAATGTAATTAGAAACCCAACAATGGCAGTTAAAGTTCCCAGCTTCCTTGGTTAGTCGGTATCGGAGTTTGAGACCACAGAGTTCTCCTGTGAAGAAATATTCTTGATCCACAACCCTGTGCCGTCGTGCTTCCACTTGCTGCGCAGTCGACCATCTATCTTTGCCACGATGCTCTCTCTCAGTGTTTCCAATTCAAAATCCCATGTGCGGAACTGTTCGAGCTTCCCTTGCACTGCCAGATATCTCACAGAATGTGATATCAACCAATAACTCCTATCAAGCTCCATCCATGGCTCCTTAGGATCCAGGCTACCCAGTTTCTGCTCCTCTGAAAAAGTTTTATGGAGGTTTTTTGGAGATGGCGCCAGTTGGAAGCTTAGGTACCGGAGGTTTGTCATGTTGCGGATTACCTTCAGAACCAGGTTCGTGTGGTTGTAGAAGGGGAAGAGGGACGTATATTGAAATGATGTTAGACGGGATATGACCGATACTGGATATGGTAATATGGCATTTTGGAGCGGATCGACCGAACCCCAATGGTTCATGAGAGATGGGAGATGAAGAAAATAGTACTTTTCGTTACGGTACGCCTTGATAGAGGAGCCTTCATTGAAAAGAATTTCTGTCCATGGACGCGCGGTAAAAAAAGAATCTGATCTTCCGACATCGTCTACGCCCATTGCCGCCTTATCTGGCTCTGGCGGAGATGCGGTGGATTCCAAGCTGCCTCCGTGCAGAGGTCGGTCGCGTCGCGGCTGCTGGAAGTGTATAGTTTGGAGAGACACGTCAAACGCCCATGTATGTGTCCCTTCTAAACTAGCCTGAGCGATATCTGCGAGGAAGAACGGGGGTGCTATCAACGTGATAATCTCCGGGTCGAGTTCGGCCAGCAGCTGTTTCCACCAGAACGGCTTCTCGCTGCCTGGGAAAATGGAGCGCACCGAGATGACCAGCGAGCGTACATGGCGTCCCAAGCTGTATTGCCGGATAAATGATAAGAATCGATCCTGATCGCGAAGTTCATAGCGAGAGTAAGAGAAGAGATATGGCCTTGCTAATGGGCGGAGTCGGGATGTCGTGCGAGAAACCGCCTTTAGGTCCCGGGCGGGGGAGGCAGAGATGTTGTGGTCAGGGATTTCGCGAAGGTTCCGCAGGGATGGAGAGGTGTCGGAAGAGAGAAATGAAATGATATGATCGAGAAGTTCATTTGGCAAAGAAAGGAGGCTGGCCTGTGGCGGTTGCTCCATGGCGTGTGGGCACAGAGAGTTGAGAAGTGTGTCAGGGTTCTTGTCTCAGTGGAGTTGAGATGAATCATCCTGTTTCTCGCCCAACGTGAGCCAACCAACCAGCACTACTCTGTACGGAGTATTCCATATTGACTTGTTGAATGAGCGACTTACTCCATAACTACACAGGTAATTCATACAATAATTTACTGCATTGGACTCCATACTACCAGGAGAAAATCCTACTCGCCCACTTATTTCACAGGATTGGGCAGTGGAAGAAGCTTTTTCCCTCCTCCACAGCCCACACACATACTTTTCTCCATATCAACATTCTACTATGGTTTAGGGGCCCCAGAATCATGACAATGCGGGGAAAGAGTCTTTCCTTCCATTGCAAAGCAGCACGGAATTGCCCTTTAGTCATATCTTGATAAGATGGGTCGGATGGGCGGGCTCTTGTCATCCATCTCCGTCTCGGAGGCCCAGTCCATTGTCTTCATGTCATGACGGTGGGGAGTGCCCAGTCACTTTAACAGAGATGAGTATTAGAGAACGATGCTCGGCTATAGGATAGCCGATTCCAGCTGATTGGAGCTATGAAAATATCTCGGCTCCAAAAATTGGGGCTTCATGGGAGCCTATGTAGAAGTGCACAGGCAGTTCGTCACCGGGAGAGTTGTCCCGTGGGTTCTCTTAACAAAGAGAATGGCAACTAATCATTGTCGGCAGGATAGGTTTGACATTTGCCGGGTCTAGACAGTAGTAATACGCCGCATATAAATGTGGGAAGTTGCCTGTCTGTGTCTTTGTTTTCTTATCTATTTTCAAAGTGTTGATCTTGTGAGACTGAAATCCAGATTTCCCCCTCACCGTAAACATTTCGCCTACCTAATGACAAAAATTGGAAAAAACAATGGATGTTAAGGCTTCTCGAAACCCGCCCTTCCGGGCAGAACACCTAGGCTCCCTGCTTAGGACTGATGAGTTGCTTCAAAAGAGAGCAGCCGTTGACAAAGGGACAGCATCAGCAGCAGAACTGGAGCCACTGGAAGATCGCGACATCAGAGAAATTGTCGATCTCCAGCGGAAACTGGGGTTTCACGGCATTACCGATGGCGAATATCGGCGACATAGTATGTTTACCTTCCTTTGACAGGGGGAAAATAAATCAAAAAAAGGAGAATCAAAAAGATATCGAGGTGCAAAAACTAATGTAGTGGGGATTCCGGTACCTCATTAGGACAAAGGTTGTTCCGGTCCGAGGCGCAAACCACCCCAAAGCTACTATTCTTGAGCTATATAAACCACCTGTAGCCCCTGCATCTTGCTTATTACCTTCACACACCATTGCTCTTTTCTATACACTTGTTCCTTACTACCAGTTCAGCTATTAGTTAGAGAATATGAAGATTTCTTGTTCATAAAATGTGCTACTGTTTCTTATTAGAGCTGTCTGTGTTAGTACAGGGCTCTTTAGTACTATTACTTCTTGCAAGCTTAGGCATCTGTTAGAACATATCTATCTCTACACTTACTACTTGACCATACCCTTACTATATGGTGATTTTTCACCTTTCTTGTGCTCTCACCATATCAACCAACTTGTCTACTTTAATGAGGCATCCCATTGTACCCTGCTCCATTTGGTGACCAAGCTGAGACCTGAAGATGATGATGTGGTGATTTGGTGACTGCCAAGGAAGAGAAAAACAAATTCTGAGACACATGAAGTGATACACTATTTCAAGGTAAGATCTTATGAACTAGAAACACAGTACTAATCAGTTTTTTTTATTTAGAAATAAGGTTAGGGAGCTTAGATTTGAATGCCTCTTATCTAGAGCTTGCCTGATAAACAGGTTTTTGGAAGATATTGACTAATAGACAGAACATACTGTGTGACATGACCAAAGATCAAGAAACCAAGAAATTGGAATCAGAATCAACTATGGCTGAAGGTACTACAGGATCATATGCAACTATATCACTGGGTGAGGACAAGAGAATTGTGGTTCATTCCCACATTCCTATGCCTTCCCCTGGCACGGCAAATGCACCTTGGTTTGACGGCAGAGATGCTACTGGAGTGGGGTATGATGGGATGCCTTGTCAAAGTAGGTGAGTTGGTTGATATGGTGAGAGCACAAGAAAGATGAAAAATCACCATATAGTAAGAGTATGGTTGAGTAGTAAGTGTAGAGATAGATATGTTCTAACAGACACCTAAGCTTGCAAGAAGTAATAGTACTAAAGAGCCCTGTACTAACACAGGCAGCTCTAATAAGAAACAGTAGCAAGTTTCATGAACAAGAAATCTTCATATTCACTAACTAATAACCAAACTGGTAGTAAGGAACAAGTGTGTAGAAAAGAGCCATGGTGCATGAAGGTAATAAGCAAGATGCAGGGGCTACAGGTGGTTTATATAGCTCAAGAATAGTAGCTTTGGAATGGTTTGTGCCTCAGACTGGAACAATCTTTATTCTAATGAGATACCAGAATCCCCACTATATTTCCTCCTGATCTTTAATGTTGGCATCCCCTGACAACAAACAACATATAAAATAAAACAAAACCAATTTAGTAAAATAAGAGAATAATAAATAGTAATGAGCAGTCTAGTAAGAAAAAACATAAAAAATAAGAATAAGAAAAGTGATAGCAGCAATCCCTAATAGTGATCACCATGATTCTCTTCTTTCACCAAGTTCTTGGGAGAAGAAGAAGACTGAACTGACACTGGGTCAATATTGTTGTGCATGCAATGCCAATAGAATTTATTATCAAAAGCTTTCTTTTCAATTTGATAAGTCTTGATAATGGCATCCAGAGCAATTTGTGTGGTCTTTAGATGCCAGTTATTAATAAAGTCCTGAGCCTTTTTGTTATCAGAGCCAAAGAGAATATCAAGTTCCTCAATTATCATGGGGTTGTCCCACCTAATTTATTCTACCAGGGCATTCAATATAGCTCCTAAGCCTTGTAATTGAATAGCAGTAGGGAATTGATATGGAACTGATGTGTAATAATTTGAATGGCTGGATGAAGATGAAGGCTCTGGAACTAGATCTCTATATGCAGTGGAGAGCTGGGACCATGTACCAGCTTTATTGACTTCTAGATGTTCATGGTTCTCTTGGATTGTCACATACCAGAGTAGCATAGTGTATTAAATCTTTTTGCATGGACCATGGGCTCTATAGAGTAGCAGAGGGCTTGTAATTCAGATATCATCAGATTTACAAATAATATTGATCCATTTAATACCAAATTTTCTTTTGTTGTCTTTGGTATACATTGTATCTTTAATGTGGTGAACATAGCCATTAGTGAATAAGTCTTGTTCTTTGACTAGTTCTCATTAATTCTCTAGATGGTTATGTATTTCTGACAAGATTTCTGTATAGTTGCTGGGCTCTTCTGCAGTTAAGATCAAGAATTCTTGTATCATGTTAATGCTTCTTCCAGTAGTAATAGCATCTGGAACATTGATATTGATATGGTGAAACCCAGTTTTATCCCCTGGCTTAGCATACTTGGTGTAGTATAGATAGGAGATTAATTTTCAAATGTAGTCAGGTCTTGTCAGTATGTACTATAGATAGTATGCAGGGTTCTGGTGCATAAGTTGTTGGCTGATACTATAATACATTGTTCTCAACTATCTGTAATTATTGTGACCTCCCATCATTTGCTGATGATGGTAGTACATGTTGTATTTGCTATTGACCCAGATGAGTACTGTGGTGGTGGCATCTTGTAACTTATTATTCCATCAGTGCATTAGCTGGGGAATGACAACAGATCTAGTTGTTTCCCATTTCTTCTGAAGATTGCTGGTGATGAACTTGTTAACTCCAGTTATTTATGTGTATTGGTTGAAGTTGAATGTTCTCATGTTTGTGATCAGAGAGATAATTGGCTGATGTTTAAATTTGTAAATGTCTAAAGCATCTTCAGCTCTAGCTGATCTATTTGTCAAATGGAATCAGAGGTAGGTGCTGTCATCAGTCTTGACTGAGCCAATGTTGTGATGATTTCTATAGATGTAAGCCAAATGGTTGAGAAGCTCCTCCCTATTAAGTGTGTGAGTCTGTAAACCAAGTTTTGAAGCCATTAGTTTAGCATGATCATAGTATAGATAGATATCAGCTTTCTTATTGCTAAAGGCCTTTCCTAACTGCTCCAGAATGTGAATAAGCTCCAACTCTGAATGTATTTTTGTACTCTTTATCTTTTGGAGAAGCTGCTGTTTGAAACCACAGCAATGGCAAGTACCAGAATGTACTGTCATAACAGATTCTTCTTGTTCATGTTGGGGTATTTTCTTGTCACTTTCAGAAGGAATAACAGACTCATCTTTGTTATCTAGGTCTTGAAGAGTTTGGTGTGCTGACATGGCTGTGATTCTTTCACTGTAGTGCTTTGGAGCTTCTGATTGGCTGGGTGGATTGGCCAGTGTGCTGGTGAATCCAAATGGCAGCTGTGATTGGCCAGTTTCCAATCCATGTGATCTAATCAACATTGTACTATGTATAGAGGCTCCTGATACATTGCAGCTATATAGCATTGACATCCCACCCATTGGAATATCTCTTGATGATCTTGGTGACTGTGGTCCTTCTAGTAGACCTCAGAGGCTGCTTGCAGTGGGAGGGCTTCTAGTGATATTCTGAATTGAATGTTGGGAGCTAGATAACTGTGGAAGAGCCAACAGCTGTAGAAGACTGTAGTTTCCAATAGTCAGTTCTTGTTGGTGTAGAGCATCTCTTGAAGAAAGTTCACAAGTGTGATTAACTTCTTTGTCAGCTGTAGTATAATTGTTTGATAATATAGCTAAGCTCTAATAATGTCTAGTTTCTATAGCATCTAGTCTTCAGAGCACTGTGCTGTTAATATTGTTGGTGAACTTATCCCAATTCTTGTAGATATTTAGAGTATGGTGAAGCTTTTGTGCAGCCCACAGACTCTCTACTTTTGGCCATATAACATCAATCCTGTCTATCCCTTATGTAGCAACAAGCCTATTCTTGATCTTTTGCATATCAATGCAACATCATTCAATATCCAGGGTAACCTTTCAAGCATTATGGAAATCAGCTTTAAAATTGGTGTGTGTAACATGTTGCCAAGCTCTGGATCTTTCAACATATCAATAGAAATGAGCCACTAAGTCAGTGACTACATCAGTCACTTGCATAAGTGCATTCATCAGCTTGACTTGTAGACCATATTGACAGTGTGGAGCTTGATTATTGATGTATTCCATAGCTGCTGTTAGATTATTGAAGAAATAGCTATTCAAGTTGACTCCACTGTCTCTGATAATGACCAGGCCTTGATTTTCAGTTGCTGGTGCTAAAGGAGGCAGGTTGCTTTGTCCAGCCATTTTTAAAGAATATCAGAAATCAAAAAATTTGCAAATGTCAGAATAACAGAATAGAAGAAAATATTGAATCTGTAAAAAGAATCAAGCTTGAATGTAAAAGAAAGTAAAAGCTTCAGCAAAGAAAAATTGACCTTTAAATATCTCTAGAAAAAGTGAATGCTAAGCAAATAACAAAGAAAGAGAAACTTTCTGAAAGAGCAAGCAAAAACTTCACTTTACAGGCAAATAAAAGAAACTTTCCAAATAAACAAGCAAAAAAACTTCATCTTTACAAACAAAACACAACAAATTAAATATCTTGTGAAGGTATAACAACAGCAAAGCTCCAGTCATCTGGTATAATAGTTAGAAATTGTGTTTGCTCCATTTCTTCTTGATCATTTTCATTTTCACTCTGATTCAAGAAGCTAACATTCAAGAAACTGCTAGAGGGAATGTTAGATTGACTTCTGGTGGCATATCTTTGAGAGATATTCTCCATCTCTACATCAGAATCTGCTGGGCTATTATTGAATGACTTCATTTCAGGTTTTATAAGGTACTTCTTTAATCTGTTTCCTGCAATAGATTCTTTGAGTTTAGTGCCATCTAACTCTTCAAGATAATAGGCACCTAGTTCTTGATTGATGGACTTAATCCTATAGAGTTCTAGCTATTGAAAGCACAGAGTGTTATTTCTAGACATATTCTGTTCTTCTTTGGTATTGTGAAGCAAGACAAGATCTCCAGGTAGAAGAGGGTTGGTCCAAATATTATGGATATCATTAAAGTATTTCTTATTTCTAGCATGCATTCAGAGCTGATGATGAGCTGCTTTCAGAACATTCTCATCTCATCTTTCAATTTACTGTGCTTGCATCAGAAGCAGGTCTTCAGTTGTTTGAATCTTTCATCAGAGAATTGTTTGCCAAGTAGAAATCTTGAGTTCAATCAGAAGAACTGCCTTCTGGCTTATTAGTAATCTATAAGAGGAGACACCAGTACTAGCCTTAGTTGTCATTCAATCCACCATCAGAATTGCAGGAAGATGTTTAATCCAATCCCTCTCAGTGCCATTGGTAGCTTTAGCTAGCCCATCAGCCAAAGGCTTATGGTCAACTTCCACCATACCATTTACAGAAGAGTTATAGGGTGAAATAACAATGTGTTTAATGTTGAATTTCTTCAGTAAGGTCTCCACAACATTCTTATTTTCTGGTCCTCCATCCATAACAAATTTGGCAGGCAGGCCCCATCAACAGATGATATTCTTATAAAGAAATTTGGCCACAGCTTCAGCTGTTGCCTTTTTCAAGACTCTAGCTTCCACTCATTCAGTAAAGTTATATCTGGCAACAACCAAATAATTTTGTTCTCAACAGAAAGGCATGTGCTTGATATCTACTCCAACTTTCTCCCAACAGATAGGGGCCCAGGTAGAATGAAGCTCTTCACTCAATCTTTGCAAATCTCTTTATTAACATTGAGAACAGTGCTTCATATAAGCAGACACATCTTTATACATCCCTGACCACCAGTATCAAGCTTGTAGAGCAGAGTATGTTCTCTCTTGCTCTTTATAGTCAAATTCATCATGCATCATGTGTAAAATTTGTTTGTGCTGATCTTTGTTGTCTATAATATGTCTTAGAGGTATACCAGATCCTGCTTGTCTAAATAGCTGATTGGCCTCCATCATATATTTAATTACTTTTCTTCAGAATCTTGTGTACTCTTTTTCTTCCATGCCCAATGATTTTGATAGAGTGGTTAGGTATTGTGCAATTT